TCTAATGGAAAACTATGATTGACAATCAGAAAAATAATTAGATTTTTAATTGAATTTTGCTGTTTATAGATCCTCATCACCAAAAAATAAGTAGGAATGTACCTAAAGACGTTGGCAGGCTCCCTCCTTAGTTGATATCTCTGTTAAACTGTGACACAGATGGTAAAATGTACAAATCTAATCTTCTGTGTGTTGAAGTCCATTTCACAGCAGGTTTTCACTTCAGGGGTATATATTTTCCCCTCAGTAATGTTGAGGTAGGGTTGACAAAAGTTGAATATAGTTAAGGTGATTTGATATGTGTATCATTGTGGGGGGATGTGCTTTTGAAAGTTCAGTAGTTTTGAAACATTGTAAACTCAAAACTAACAGCAGTAGTACATCTGCCTTAAACAGAAAAGCTCTCTTTACAAGGTAGAATTTGAAAATGTAATACAAAAATAGATGACACTTTTTAGAATGGGAAAATCTCTTGCTCTGGCTGTTGTGGCTCAATGGATTGAGTACTGGCCTGCAGACCAAAAGGTTGCTGGTTCAATTCCCGGCCAGGGCATAAGCCTGGGTTGCAGGCTAGGTCCCCAGCTGAGTGCATGAAAGAGGCAACTGATTGCTGTTTCTCTTGCACATCATGTTTCTCCTGTTTCTAAAAGTAAATAAATAAAATCTTTAGAATGGGAAAAATTTTCCAATCTATAAAACATGCAGAAAAAGAGCAAAATGTATTTTTTAAAAGTTAGGAAAACAATGCCAGTAATCAATATTCTCTTTTAGCCCAATTTCCAGAAACAGTATATTTTGATAAATGGATAACAGTCCCTTACACTGCCACAACTAGAATAGGCATTTGAAAGGAATCATACCCATGATTCTGACCGCAGTATATCACCGTGGGCAGTAGCAGCTGCGCCCACATATTTTCAGCAGGACTTATGAAGATTGCTGATAAGAATGCACTCCCTCCTGCTAAAGATGATGCAATATAGTATTTTTAATGTCAATATCAGTTTTAATTGACAATGATTTAATGTCAATCAACGTGTTCCATTGGTTTTGGTATTTGTAAAGGTACATTGTAAAGTTGCTACTACTTCATCTAAATAATTTTATCTTGCTTTGGCAACAAGTCAAAGAAATATCAAAAGGTGGTACATCAATTAGCTTTAGTAACTTATTACAGTTGTTCACCTGTCTCTTAATATTTTGTAATTAACCAGTTTCCCTCTTTAGAAGTTTAGCTATTTTAGTTACCTTGCTTAAATATGCTACACGAAAAGAAACTAAGGTGTCAATATATTTTACACTTAATTTTCTTCCTTTTTTCTGTCTAGAGGAAATTTCTGGTAATGTTGAAGTTAAAAATTAAACCTTCTATCTTAATAATAAATTTATTTAATACCATAAAAATTAATCGGTGACATTCAGTTTGGATATGTCTTACTGATTAATTACAACCTAGAGACCTTCTTTATCATAATATTCATGTTCTTTTGGAAATGTAGTACTCCCTAGATTTACAAGAATTGTTTAAATTTTAAAAAGTCCAAAGTTATCCCACTACACATGATATTTCAAACTTGGAAATTACTCATTAAAAAACCAAACACACCTGACTGATGTAGCTCGATTGGTTGGATATCGTCCCACAAACTGAAAAGTCATTGGTTCAGTTCCCAGTCAGGGCACATGCCTGGATTGCAGGCTGATCCCCCATCAGGGTGTGTGAGAGAGGCGACCAATTGATGTGTCTCTCCCTCTCTTTTTCCCTTCTCCTCTGAGAATAAATACATACAATCTTTACAAAAGCAGATAAAGGATATGGTTTATTAGCACCACGCTCTAACCAACTGAGCTAACCGGCCGCCCAAGGATACGGTTTAAAGCATAAAAAGTTCTTTGTATTCATGGCTTGTCTGTGTAGAAGTTCTAGAGGTAGAATTACAGAAACCAGACCCATGAAGAATGTTTGTGGCAAAATCAGGCTTCTTCATTATCCTTTTTATTAAAACGTAACCTAAGCTATTGTAACTCTTTTGCCCTTGTGACTACCATGATACGTTTTGAAGACTGAAGTTAATTGAAGAAATAGAACAAAGCTTTATTTTAAATGAAGATCCATGGTAATATGAAGATAAAAAGTCAGGCTAAAAAAATTCACGTTTGCCTCATTCAATATTAGAGACACCCAGGATGGTATTTTTATTCTCTCTGCAATAATTGTGCATTTTTACTCCAAAGAGTAACAAGATCTCAAACCTTAGTTTCTCTAGGTTATTTTCAAATTTATAACCATTATTAAGTCCCAAGTTTTAGAAGAGTCTCAGAACAGACTCAGAAATGGCACCCTTACAACATAAAGAGAGAATCCTAATGTAAACTAAGGGCTTGTGTGATAATGACGTATCAGTGCAGGGTCATCAGTGGTCACAAACATGCACCTGGTGGGGGATGGTCACAGTGGGGAAGGCTGTGCAGGGGGTGTGTAGTGGCAGGGGTATATGGGAAATCTCAACTTTGTTGTAAAACAAATTTTGTTCTAAAAAATTAAATATTTTTAAAATAGGAACTTACTGCCCTGTCCAGGTAGATGGGTTGATTAGAGCATCGCCCTGATACACCAAGGTTGTGGGTTCTATCCCAGGTCAGGACACATAGAGGAATCAAGCAATGAATGCCTAAGTAAGTGGAACAAAACATTGATGTTTTTCTCTAAGAATCTATAAATTTAAAAAAATTAAAAATGAAAAAAGGCACTTATTCCAAAAATATTAAAGCTGTAAGTAAAACTCTTACTGAGACCTTATTTAGTTTATGGTTATTTAGTTGCTAGTACAGGTCATTTGTACCATCTGTTGTAAGTCCTTTTAGCAAACCAGTTCATTACAGAGCCAAATTAGATAAATGCACCTTATATTTTATCATAAAGTTGACTTTAAAGAGCTACCTTATCAAAGTTTAAGTTCCTAGATTTATAAAAGATCCTATTATCTGGTTACATTACCTCTCTAATTAATTATACACATGTCCACTGCTGATAAAAAAAAATAATGTGGACTTTCGGCCAAGATGAAGGCGTAGGTAGACAGGATTAGCCTCCTTGCACAAACATAAGAAGGATCATAACTAACCTCAAAACAAAAAACAACCAGACTGCCAGAAAATTGAACTGTATGGAAGTCCAACAACCAAGGATTTAAAGAAGCAGCATTCATGCAGATGAATAGGTGGGGTAAAGACAAAGACCTGGAGCAGAGAGGATGTGGTGTGCAGCAGTGGCAAGGCAGCTGCAGCAGCTGGTGGAATGGGTGGTCCCACATTCACATGTGGTGGATAAAAACCTGGAGGGACACCTGGCGGGGGGAGCAATCCCAGCCTTAGGCCAGAATGTGCAGCCCAGGGTTCCAGCGCCAGGGGAAATAAAACCTCATAACTTCTGGCTGTAAAAACCAGCGAGGGTTAGGGCAGCATAAGAAACTGCCATTTTCTCAGGAGAGTCTGTTTAAAGGGCTCCCATGGTCCTAGAATGTGAACCCACCCACTCTGGGAACCACCACCAGGGCAACTGCTACAGGGGAGCCAGTTGCATATGGGAAGTGAGTGAAGTGAGTGGAAATAGGGCAAGGACTGAGCAAGTGGCATTGTTTCCTCTTCCATCCCTCCCCCACAGGCAGCACCACAAAACAGAAAAGTGCATTGCTCCACCCTGGTGAATACCTAGGGCTCCGCCCCTTACAAGGTAGCATGTGCACCAAGACCAGGAGTTAAGCAGCACTACCTAATACACAGAAACAAACATAGGGAGACTGCCAAATTGAAGAGACAAAGAAATATGGCCCAAATGAAAGAACAGGTCAAAACTCCAGGAAAAATAGAAGTAAAATAGAAATAAACAACCTATCAGATGCAGAGTTCAAAACACTGGTGATAAGAATGCGCAGAGAACTCATTGAGTATTAGACAAATGCATAAGGGAAGAAATGAAGGCTACACTAAGTGAAATAAATAAAAATCCACAGGGAACCAACAGTGAAGAGAAGGACGCTGGTGGCTCAAGTATTCCCCCCCCCCAAAAAAAGGGGGAGCCATCAAGAAGAATCTGTGACATCTCCAAAAATGCCAACATCTAAGTCATAGGGATACCAGATGGAGATGAAGAAGAACAAGAAATTGAAAACTTATTTGAAAAAATAAAGAAAACTTCCCTTAGTTGGTGAAGGAAATAGACATACAAGTCCAGGAAGTCCCAGACAAGTTAGACCCAAAGAGGGCCATGCTAAGCCACATCATAATTAAAAGGTCAAAGGTTAGAGATGAAGACTCTTAAAAGAAGCAAGAGAAAGGAGAGAGTTACTTACCAAGAAGTGCTCATAAGACTATCATATGATTTCTCAAAAGAAACTTTGCAGGTGAGAAGGGACTGACAAGAAATCTTCAAAGTGATTAAAACCAAGGACCTACAACCAGGATTACTCTGTCCAGCAAACCTATCATTTAGAATGGAAGGGTAGATAAAGTGCTTCCCAGACAAGGTAAAGCTAAAGGAGTTCATCATCACCAAACCACCCTTGTTACATGAAATGTTAAAGGGAGTTATCTAAGAAAAAGATCAAAACTATGAACAGAAAAATGACAATAAACTTACAACTATCAACAACTGAATCTACAAAACAACTACACAAACAACTGGAAGAGAAAGAGAATCATAGATACGGAGATCACATAGAGGATTATCAGCAGGGACAGGGGAGGGGGAGAATGAGGGAAAAGGTACAGGGATTAAGAATCATAAACGGTAGGTACAAAATAGACAGGGGGATGTTCCTAACAGTTTAGGAAATGAGGAAGCCAAAGAACTTAGGGGCATGACCCATGGATATGAATTAAGTAGGGGTATTGCTGCAGGGAGCAGGAGTACCAGGCGGAAGAGCGCAAAGGGGAAAAGAAATTGAGACAGCGGTAATACATAATCAATAAAATATACTTAAAAATAATGGTCACCAATATATCACATGCATGGTAGTGTTTGATTTTATTTTGATTTAATCTTTATTGTATTTTTTCCCATTACCATGTAGTCCCCTCATAGCCCCCTCCCCCTAGCATGACCAGTATTTTATTCTTTGAAGAATGGTTCTGAAATGTCACGCTAAGTCAGGCTGAAAGGTAGAGTTTAAAATAGTTTCTATAAGGATATGTTATAACACATGTAATGATTGTTCACTCTACAAAATCCTGATCATAGAGCTTATGATACACCTAGTTGGCAATAGCACCCAGGTTTTCCAAATTGTCGGTCCTCATTTTTCTCTTGTCTGCATCGACTTCTTCTCATTAGCTGCTTTCTGCTTTTGTTGCATGATCTCAGAGTCCCTATAACAGGAGAAAAGGCTGTAAGTTGTCACAGAAAAGCTGACTATGTTCTCCCTTGTTTTCTATATATAACCTATTCAGAATATTACAAGACAACTTAAAAGAAGATGTAAACATTCGTGTCTTTCCATTTTCATGGGTGGAGACAGAATGAGAAGGCAAAGAATGGAAAGGCTTGGAAGTCAGATCTTATTTTAAACACCATCTCTACTATCATGAGCTTGGGCAAATAATCTCAAAGCCTTTCAAAATTAGAGCAATACATATCGATCGGGATTGTTCAGAGGAATAGCTATGAATATATATAAAAGCATCTGACATTAGTTAAGAGCTACATATAGAAATAATAGTAATTATTCTTTGTTGTCAATGAAATTAATTCATTCTTTTTCCTGGGGAAAAAGGGGGCATTTAAGAAGTCTCCTAGAGCCCTGGCCGGGTAGCTCAGTTGAAGTGTCATCCTGCTGTCAAGGTTGTGAGTTTGAACCCTGGTCAGGGCACATGCAAGAAGCAACCAATGAATGCATAAGTAAGTGGAACAACAAATTGGTGTTTCTCTCCCTCCCTGTCTCTAAAATCAATTAAAAAAAAGAAAAAGAGGAAGTCTCCTGGATATACTAACTGGTACCTAGGATAAGAACATAGATGTTATGAAGTAATTCAGTTTCTTTTAAGCCGAAAGCTCAATAGCTAGTGATTAAAAATGGATTACACTAAAGAAAAGTAGGGCATTCAGGGCATTTTCTTAACCCTTTGAGTGTCTGGCTGAACTCCACTGCCATATTAAGTGTGACCTACAGCCAGACTATCTGGGTACTTTATTGGCTCTTGATTAACATTTCAGATACAATGTTTGTTTAAAAAGGAAAAAATTAAAGGCTTTAGAGCTAAATGATTTGTCCCAAATCACATAAAAACCAAGCTTTGTCCAATCCCAAAGTCCAGGCTCTTTTCTATCTCGTTATTTCATAGATTAAGTATTATATTTTGGTTCAGGATAAGTAGTTCTGTTCTTGGCATAAGACACTTCTGCAAAGCCAATAGCAAAAACAAGGAATGAGAAGACAAGAAAAACAAGACAGCTACAAAGAAATGTGGTGTCAGAGAGAATAGTGAGTTTTCTGTTTGAATCCAAGCTTTGCTGTGTTTTCTGTATGAACTTAGTATTGTTACGAATTCAGAGTCTCAGTTGCCCGTTCTGTGCACTGAGCCCAATATCACTTTTCAGGGCTGCGATGATTAGAGATACTATGTATAGAACACCCGGCACAGAGCTTTGTAAGACATGGGAATCCATTAAACAGTGGCTATTACTGAGCCAAGCTAGACTAGACTCTCCAATAAAAATACTAATTCAGTGTCACTGATTTGTACCACTTTCACTTTTAATGTGAGTAAATACAACTGCAAGGCAAAACTTATTTTAATAAATGTCATAGAAGAAAGCACGAATGACATTTAAAGGCTTCAATCTCATTAAACAATGATTCTTAACTCCAGCTGTACATCAGAATCGCCTGGGAAGTTTTTTTGAAATTAGGTTTAACTAAGGTATAATAACATTTATCTAGAACACTTTTTATTTTTTAAAGATTTTATTTATTTATCTTTAGAGAGGAAGGGAAGGAGAGAAGGAGAGAAATATCAATGTATGGTTGCCTTTCGTGAGTCCCCTGCTGGGAACTGGCCTGCAACCCAGGCATGTGCCCTGACTGGGAATCGAACCGACATCATGAGGTTCGCAGGCCCACACTCAATCCACTGAGCTACACCAGCCAGGGCTAGAACACTTTTTTGGGGGGCTAGAACACTTTTTATATTTTATTTTTTAAAATTCTCACCTGAGGACATATCCACTGACCCTAGAGAGAGAGAAAGGGAGAGAGAGAAATATCGATGCAAGAGAGAAGCATCCATCAGCTTCCTTTGGCACATGCCCCAACCGGACTGACCTCACAACTTAGGTGTGTATCTTGACTGGGAATTGAACCCGAGATCTCTCAGTGTACAGAATGATGCTATAACCAACTGAGCCACACCGGCCAGAGCTAGAGTAGTACCTTTTAATGCCTGACCTCAGACTAATTATCCGGTAAATCAGGACTGGGTGTAGGGCACAATAGACTGAGCAGACTTCAGTTTCCCGGGTGGTTCTAATGTGCAGCCAGGCTTCAAGACCACAGAGAAGCCACGCTAAAGCATGTGTACATGTGTAGTCAATTATTCACCTGACCTCCAATTTCCACATGGATAACAACATTTGACTTTAGAATAACACTCAACTTTGATTAACTGTTTTAGAAACATGAATACATTTTTTCCACTTAAGCTCAGTCTCACAGTATTCCTATAGCAAGCAGTTTTGTATAATTTGTCATACACAGTCATATACCAACCCAATGGTTCTTCCAACGTCAATATAGCTACATATATTTACTTTCTTTGTCTCCTTCCAAACAGTTATTACTATAATTGAGACACCTACACTAGTTTGGACAGAATGCCTGCTTTGAAAGTGTTCCAGTGATCAGAGGGGAGTAGGGAGGGGAATAATGGTGGAAAGGGGAAGGGACTAGTCAAAGAACATGGATATGGCCAACACTGTGGGGATTGACAGTGGGAGTGGGGTGTGGGCTGGGCAGGGGAGGGCAAAGGGGGAAAAAACTGGGGCAAGTGTAATAGAATAACAATAAAAATATTGCATTCCTGGCACCTAACAGTGGACATATGGAAGATGTTCATTTGCTGTGCCAAACGAAATTCTTATGGTTGTGGTGGAGTTACATGAGGTTATCTGCAAAATAAGCAATAGCTTGAAAGCTTTAAATTCTTCATCCATGGGTTGGGATAACTACCTCATGTAGTTTTAGTATGCCCGGCACACAATAAATATTCAACTGTATAACCCCTTTCTACAGGTTAGGCATGGTTCTACCAAAAATTTTTTAAAAAGGCTTTCCATTCTCCACAATGAAAACTTCAGTGTCTTGAGAATTCTATTAGTAATCACTGACCTTTGTTTTCTCTGAGAGGTAGTCAAGCTATCCTCTTTTCTTTTTCCCTTGCTAATTTCCTGGGATTTCTTCATGTTTTTCTGGCGGGCAAGTTCTCGCTGATTTCCACCTACAAAGAGAAACGGTCATACTCTTTCCAAGTTTCCAAAATTAGTAACTCCATTATAAGGCTCTAATTTAAGTGCATCTGAAGTGCATTGCTTTTTAATAGGTAAGTCAGCAGACTAGTGCACTGAGTGGTGTTCCCAGGTCTGACCACAAGGAGGAAGCTTAAAGGTACATACTTTAGGTCTTAAAAGTACCATTCCAATCAAGGTGTTCACTGGCTCTACATACCATAGCTCTTAAACCGGGCATTCCATTCCAATAGACTGTATATACCGGCCAGTATTCCAAAATAAGTTCTGGCTTTTGCGGAGTGTGTGTGGAGAAAGATACACGGGGATCACACTTCGTACAAGTTGACCCACAACAAGCCAACTGTTAAGCAAGCAAATGCAGATGCTGGTGAAACGTTACCTGTGAGGGCCAAACAAAAGAACTAGGGAGGAGGCTCAGTCGGAGCTTAGTTTTTATTAGGCCTTATGATTGTAAGTATCAGCTACAGACCACCTCCAAACCCCTCCAGGACCCCTCCCGGGGCTGCGGTCTCCACACACCTCACCTCTGGGGAGGTGTTCTTTACCGTGTCAACTCGAGCACCTCAGGGGTACCTGGAAGGTACCCTTCCAAGGCTGCACCGAAGCCTAGCGTCCCTCTCTCTGCCGAGTGAAGACGGGGTCCCCGCCCTGTGTGACCCAAGGGGATTCATCAGCGAGCCCGCGCCTCCCCACCAACCGCGCCTCGGTGATCCACTGGCTTCCTAGCCGGGCGCTCCCCGCCGCTCCCCCATCTGGTCGGCACACTCACGGGCCATGCGGACCAGCCGACCGAGCCTCGGAAGGGAGCAACTCAGAAAAGCAACAGCCTTCTCTCTGGCTCAGCGGACGTCCTCTCGGAGGGATCCGGAAGGCTGAGCCAGTGCCCGCCCTTCGCTGGACCCCGCCTCTGCCGGGTCCACCGCCCCGCCCTTGGAGACCGCACAGAAATCAACCGGAGCGACCGGCCGGCCCGTGCGCGTGCGCGGCGGGGCGGGGCTGACTCGACCCCGAGCTGCGGGGTCCTGCCTGCAGCCTGGCGTCTTCTGCATTGCAAGTTGGGTAGAGTCCCGAAAACAGGTCTTGTGTCTGAGAGACAGGGATAGACGTGTGTGGATTTTCCCCACCCTCTACCTGGCACTGAGACTTGACCAGCTCCCATTTTTTTTTGGAAATAACAAAAATGACAAATACTGTAACATCTAACTTGCCCACAAAGAACGTCAGCTTTCCTCATTCATCCTTTTGCAGCGACTTGAAGGGGATGAATGAGACAGAGCAGATTGAGATTAACTGCGAAAGGCAGTGTTTGGCCTTTACTTAATTTCCTTCCTTATTTTCGCACCAACCATGCAAGGTAGACAGTCTTCATTGTTCTCAGTTTACTCAAGAGGAGACTGAGACTCAGACTAGAAGCTACTAACTTAACCTTCAAATTTAAGACTGACTCTAAACTCTGTTCATTTCCCTTTTTATACCAGTGCCCTTGTCACGGTCGACCCTACTTTAGGAGTTTTAAGTTAATGGTTTTGTGCTTGGGTTGTGTGATGGGGAGAGAATGGCGGAGATGCAGTCTTACCTCATATTTAGTGTAACGCAGAATAACCTTGGAGCCCACGTAAAAGCTGTGGAGCACCTGCCATTGCTAGAAACACACATGTAAAGATGCTTGATGTTTATTTGGTTGGTACTTATTTTCTTTATCTATTCCGTTAACCATTACAAACTGAGAAATGTTGAAGTGTTCTGGATACCCTAAAATTACCCTCAATTAGCACTGAATATGTTGGCTGTTGTTGTCATTCTTTTAATCTCTGAGAGCCTTGCTCATCACTCTCTACCTGCCACCCCTCCTCCTCAATACAGTTTACAGGACAGGTGTCTGTTTCCACTTAGCGAATCTCTTCTGGAATAACTTGAGCAGGGGACTTTCTGGCCAGGTTCTTTATGGAGATAAAGACATCATGAACAAGGGAGGGAAGGAAGTGGTATTGAAAGGGAAGTGGTAGAGTTGTTTCTGCATATGGCCTTAATTTACAGTCTCATTGAGCTTTTTCTTTGCAGCTGAAAATGCAGTTTTTGAGTTGTAGGGATACACATCATGTACAGCATGTACATGAGAAATGTTGCATGTGTCTGCTAGTAAAAACTGAGGATTTAAAAATTACTGTGGTGCCATTAAGACTTTACTCCATAAATTTGGGTGTGTAACAAATATTTTGACTTTAATAATAAAATTAAACTGACTCTGTTCTCATCTTTTTACTAATGGGAAATTTCCTCTTAGGCACTATTGACTTTCTTACCTGCAGAATTGTGGAGATACCCTAGATGTTTATGTGGAACGGAACAGTTGAGGAAAGATCTTGTATCTTCAGTTTATACTAGAATATACTGTACTAGAATATACTATACTAGAATATACTGAATATACTAGAAGCTATATGGTCCTGGCAGTGGCTCCAAGGTTCTTGAGACAACTCCAGCAGGGTTTTCTGTTGTTGTTCTTATCACTTTCTTGAGCTTCTTCTTTCTTTAATTGATTTGAGAGAGTGAGAAGGGAGGAGGGAGGAAGGCAGAGAGAAAGAGAGAGAGAGAGGCAGACATCGATTTGTATTCATCTGTTGTTGCTTCTTGTATGTGCTTTGACAGGGGATTTAACCTACAACCTTGGCCAGTAGAACATTGCTCTAACCAACTGAGGTGCCTGGCCAAAGCTCTTGAGCTTCTTCAAGTGTATTTGAGGTTCGGTTGCTTCCTTAGAGTACCGGAGGGAGCCCGCAGAACTCATGGAACTCCATTTTCTTTCAGTCTTAGAGCAATCTCTTCTTCTGTGATTTCAGCCTTGCCTTCCTTCTGTCAAAAGCCCTTGTCGTTCTTTCTCCCTCTGGATGGATGACCTAGCAATCTCTTCAATTAGTTCGGTATTTTATTCCTTCGACATTTTGTTGTTAATGTAGCAGGATGTTCTTGTAGAATCATTTTATCCTTCTGAGAAGAAAATGAGAACTTTGTTTCCACAAGTCAGAGTATTTATATGACAAGTTCAAAAACAGGCCCATACTCTGTAGATCTAACCCCCTCTCTGCCCGATTTTCCTCTATCATAGAGGCCTTGTCTGACCATCCAACCTAAAGTAAGCCAGTCTCTTATTAATTTGTCATATTACCCTTTACATTTTTAGAGTATTTAATGCATTCTTAAGTTATTTTGTTCATTTGTTCGTTGTATTTTCTCCTCTCCTACCCAGAATGCCTGTTTGTCGCCCTACTGCTACTTCTGTAGTAGATTAAGAATACTCACATTAATTTATAGAGTTTTAACTGTAATCATTTCTGAACAGGCAGTACATCCACATTGAAAATTACATCACCACATAAGTGAATGCTCTTCCCCCCACGACATCTTTCTCAGAAACCCAGTTCCTTTCCTAGGAGGTAACTATTATCGGTTGCTTCACACTTAAATTTCTAATCTATGTTCCGCTCAATTTAGAATTTCTAAGGCTTGGGCATGTGCTGGAGAACAAGCCCTGCTCTACAGAACACTCTAAAAAAAAAATCGACCAGCGATCGGCCAGCTCTCCTGTAAAAAATTGGACTGAGGGGTTGACTACCTCCCCCCTCTCTTTTCAAAAACTCCTAAGGACGCCTGGAGAGGGGAGAGCACACAGTCTTGCGTCTCTATTTCTAGTTCAGCGGTAATCCACTCAGTAGTTTGACAGTTACCATGGCTCCGGGAGTTGTGCGTCTTACGTCATCCCGCAGCGCTTGGTGATGACGCAATTAGTTCAGGGCTGGGAGCAAGGTGTAAGGGGAAATTTAGCTGTTACTGTGGCTGGGTCATGAAGAAGAGGCGGCGGCGGGAGGCAGCAGGAGGCGGCGGGGGCGTGAATCTGCTGTAGCTGCTCATTGGGCTGGTTCGTGCCTTTGTGGGAAGGGCGTAGTTCTTAAACCCCTCTCCGGGCAGCGGCCGGGGCTCGGGGCTAAGAGCGGCCGTAGGGCCGCCTCCCCGGGCCCCGTGGCTCCGCCATGTTCCGCCGGGCACGCCTTAGCGTGAAGCCCAATGTCAGGCCTGGTGTGGGCGCTAGGTCTTCCATCACCCCCAATCCCCAGCGCGGACAAGAGGCTCCCAGGCCGCCGGAACCTGCATCGGCCCGTGACCCAAAGCCAGCGGAACCCACAGATGTGCCTCTGGTGGATTTCGAGGGAGCGGAGCCCCAAGAAGAGGCTCCCAGGAGCAGGTAAGTGTTTAAAGAGGGGAGCATTTTCATCTGCTCCGCCTCTCCGGGCCCGTCAGCTGGAAGCCGAGTAGTTGAACTTTACCGTAGATGTATCTCTCGTGCGAAGTCTTACAGTTGAGGCCGGATGATACAAGTTATCGGGGAGAGAATCAGGTCTTCAAAGTGGTCGTGGGAGGAATCCAGGGTAACAGTCTCGCAGTGAATAATACCCAAATGTCTTATTAGTCATTAGAGAATTTAGGGTAGCGTAGTTTTCAGTCTTCTGTAGTGCATTGCGGGGATGGTACTTTACATCTTAAAAACATTTTTATTTAAAAAAATGTTTGTTGATTGATTTTTAGAGAGAGAGAGAGAGAGAAGGGAGAGGGAGAGAGGAACAGAGTCTACATCGATTTGTTGTTCCACTCATCCATTCATTCGTTGGTGGTTTCTTGTATCTGTCCTGACAAAGATCCAACATCAACCTTAGTGTATCGGGATGATACGCTGACCAACTGAGGTAGCCTGCCAGGGCCCATTTATTTTTAAGTGAAAACTAGTGTTCTTTTGACTCTGCAGATTAATCTTAGTGGAAAGGTCTGGTACTTGCTTTGATTTGAGGGTGTGCCCCTTTAACATGGTGACCGTGCTTTCTGAATGGAAAAGCATGTGTCATGTACCGTGTTTGGATTCAGGATTCTTCAACTGAATTGAGCAACTTAGTAGACTTTGCCTAGGCAGAATTTACTCATTTGTAGAATGATGATACTATTACTTGCTTTGAGAATTATCGTGGAGACTAGAGATAACTGATATAAACCATAAATTGAACTGATATAAACCATAAATTGTTTGTTTAAAAGGACACCAGTAAAAACCAACTTACCACCACCTCCACCCCAAAAAAGAAAACAATTTATTTTTAAATGATAGTGAGATGGTATAAATTCTGTTTATGCTCTGGCTTGAAGGTGAAAATTTTATTCTTTTTGGCTCCTCTTCCTCTGTTGGCCTGAACTGGTGCTGGGAATAGGGTGTTATTTTGCTAGCTTAATGATACTTAGTAATTTCCAAGTTTCTTAAGTGAATTTGCTTCAAAGTTCTTTCCCAAAATGGAAATACAAATACCAGTCACTGTTAAATTAATAAAGTTCACAGAGATCCTGTTAACATATACATATAATGTGTGATGACTGAGTATTTAATAAATTACTAGAAGTCTGTAGAGTCTTGACATTTATAGTAGAGAATATTTAATTTTTAGAGTTAACATTTAGGGAGTATACTGTGTTTTTATCATGTGTTTTTTTATGGGTCTTTGCTATTTGTAAAAATCTATAGGGTACATGTTCTTTTTGAAAAATTTTAATCATTATTCTGTTACAGTTGTCCCAGTTTTTCCCCCTTTCTGCCTAGCCCACCACCTGCTCCCAGTCAGTTCCCACACTGTTGTCCATGTCCATGTGTTCTTTCACTAGTCCCTTCTTCTTTCCTCCATTATCCCTTGTTCTCCACCGCTCTGGTCACTGTCAGTCTGCTTCATGTTTTCATGCCTCTACTTCTATTTTGCTCATCAGTTTATTTCGTTTATTAGAATCTTCTTATAGGTGAGATCATATGGTATTTGTCTTTTCATCGACTGGCTTATTTCACTTAGTGTGATATT